TTTACTAAAGGACATTGCTTCTCCAGTTCTAAAATTCTACATCCCTTTTTATATGTGTGTGCCAGAGAGAGAAAGCTACTTTGAAATACAACTGCATAAGAAAAGACTTGCATTTGAAAGAATAGAGCCTTTGTTGCTGATATATCTTGCTACAAATGGATGGGGGATTAGAGCTTTTTATTTAAGAGAGAATTTTGCTATAGGTCATGAGCACTCACCGGAGAGACAGAGACAGATAGAGAGACAGACAGAAAGCAAATAATGGCCTGCCTAGGGAGTATGGCCACACTGCAGTCTCTTCTCCATTCTCCTCTCAGAATACTGGGCACTCATGCACATGCGCCCAGCATGAGTTTTAAGCTGTCTGGTATGGTACTCGAACTGTGGTGGGAGTCTACCGACTTACCATTTTGCCATCTGCTGGTCCTTGGATTAGAATTTTCTGAGTAGGCATTTTTAATGTTTTCTCAACTGCTAAGTCCCATGATTAATGGCATTAGTGCCATAATTAATGCATACAACTGGAGAAACTTTGTGTTTTTGCCAAGGTTTTCTGAAATTTAAAAAAAAAAATGTTCACTGTGTAATTATTACAAGTTTCTCAGGGAGCACTTGGTTTTCCTATTTTCTGTGTGCTAGCTATAGGCAAAATTAGCCAGCTCTAATTCCTAAGAGTTGAAAATTATTATGTGAGGACTTTGAGGAGGGAAAGATGGGCTGTGTCTTCTAAATATTAGGATATTAAGGTTAACATTTAGTCATTCTTTGAAGAAATTACCTGATGTAGGCATTGCATTTTCTAGCCATACATCTGTGATTCTACCAATAGAGAAACGGGCTCATGTTACCAAATGGGGACTTTCAAGTTTGACCTTGAGGGATGACTAATAGTCACAGAGGGCAGGGGAGAGCAGGTCAGCAGAGGGACCAGCAGGAAGTCACATGACCAGAGAGTGGGTGATTCATGAGGAATGAAGGAGGGCTAGACTAGAAGCTAAAGTTCACTTGTGAGAGATCTGGTAAACCACCTAAGGAATTGAGACTTGCCTTTCTGGCAAAGGAAAACCATCAAAGAAGGGAAATGGCATGATCAGATATGGTCTTCATAAGATCTGTCTGGCACTGGTTTAGAAGGAAATTTGAATGAGGAAAAGGGAGATGTTAGAAAGAACCTTTAGAAAACTGTTGTCATAAGTCAAGTAAGAGATGTAAGGCAATAGAAATGAGAGTCATTTAAACAATAAAATAGCATCTGATGACTCGTAAAGGGGGCCATGTGTGTTGTTTTATATTAAGGAATTTTTGAATTTTTATTAACATTTCTTTGGGATAGCGGTAGACATAGAATGTTATGTTTATCACTGGAGTGGTTGGTCACGTCAGCCATTCTGCTTGCTTCATTACCCTGAAGTAAGTTTTAGATGTCATGTCTATCTCTTTTACAAATTGTTCGTTGGGAGTTCTGGATAACAATATGGGGACTACATAAACTTTTCTTTCAGGTAAGACTCCTTGAAATCGCTTAAGCATAGAGAATCTCTGGTAGCCTCCAAATGAACTGGCTTACTTGGGCAAAGCTTTGGCATTTGCTGCTATGGTGTATGCTGTGTTCAGAATTAAGTAGGATTTTGGAGTTGCTTTCTTGGCCTGTGTAGTCTGACTTGGTGTTACTGTACTACTCTACTAGAATACACTTCATCATTCATT